ATGCGCGCGAACCTTAGGCGACCGACCGTCAAGCAGCGATCCCCTTTACCACTAATCCGCTTTCGGTACGTCGTACGCCACACACGTACGCCATTTTCTTTTGTCAGCTTTGATTAGCATACGCATGTTAATATATGCGACCATCTCGGTTGGAGATATTTGTCTAGGTGTGCGATTTATGCGTGGAATAGCTGTTTCTAGCCGGGTCATGGCCTTCATCAGAACTTGGACGTCATTAAGTGCTCTGCAATCACGTAACTAATCCGCTACCGTAACGCACGGAACTTAATTGCCACACACACTGTGAACCAGTTACGGCCGGTCATTTATGGCGGCCGTTAAAACACACGAAATTGAGCCGCACCAGCGCATCGACGACTTTAATTTTCTGTCCTCCAACTTCTTTGAGTGTTTCAAATGTTCCTGTATAGGGATCGAATATAGGGACAACATTTATGATGGCACTGAGCTTCCACGCCGGCAAATGTTGGGCTTTTGCCATGTTCAGGGTTATCTAGAAAGGTTTTTGGAACTATTCCATTCCAGGACTTCCCAGATCTCATTAAACATTTGTTCCGCATGTAAATGGAGCTACAGACAAGCCATGGAATACCGGCGGAATGGAAATAAGTCATAAGATATTGAGTACCGTCGTCTCGACTCCTGCACATCGAATGTGGCCGAAGATGTTCGCTGGCCTCCTATGGTGGTCTTTCTGTCTGGGCCTGTGCTCAGAGTACTATACTGAACAGGATTCGAGTTCACAAACATCCGCAACTATCTAACGATCGATTTATTGATTGATTGTTCCGATGCTGAACGCATAGTCTCTACTTCATGCAATTGACAGAGAAGGGGCAGAAAAGCTATTTCCCCCGTATATCCCAGTTCGTCGTATTTCACCCGTCTCAGTCCAGCTACTCAAGTTCGTACCACCTTCTCCTTTCGCTATCTATGGGAAAGAGGCTCTACACGTCCGGTGAATGCTCTGTCGACAAGGGTGACCTGCCTGTTTTAATCCATATCAGATAATGAATCCGTTGTTTTCATTGTAACTCATCAGTCGGCCGTCCGGCATGCCGTTATTCTAGCAGATCGACTGGAATAAGTTTGAATTTACGCCATGAACAAGTTCAGAAGCCCTTCATTCCTGAAGGGTAGGTAAGGTAAGAGTTAGCTAACCTCTCAAGTCGGCATCATAGAGCAGATCTGGAGAAATTCATCTAAGGAACCAACGTTCCTTACGCTGATTTGTCTTGTTTCCAAGTTTTCTTAATGAATCGCCATCGTGCAACCATGTATGACCTGGAAGTTAATCTGGCGAAGTTGGATTCCGCAAATTTTCCTGTCTAAAAGTTACAGACCTCCCTGCTAAATATCTCTTTCAGATGTCATCGATGGTGAAGACAGGCGATAGTAACATCTGGTCCCCACGTATGATGCCATTCTGGTGTTCCCATAATGCCACAGCAGCCGCAGCCGCTGCCGTTGATTTCACGTGAGTTCGTTCGACAGGAGGATGCTTTTAAAGGGTGTCACCGAACCGCTGATCATGTCTTATAACACCTATTTTACAATGGCCGACAAATGTGCCCGAAACCACAATCCCTCATAAAATTTCATAAAAGTGTCATGGCTCTCACCGAAGCCACGCCCATTCCTCCGAAGGATACCGTAACCGCAACGGCGTTGGACGGTCACCCGGGCCTATGGGCGGGGCCTGACGGTTGCCTGTCCGGGGAGAAACACCAAGACTATCTATCTCTCGTTTTCAGTGCTGGTGGCGATAAGCAGAGCATGCTGCATCAGACCACTTTCGACGCACTTCCTGCGCAAAGTTTTTATCCGGCCCGTTGGCCTGCACCTCCGGCTACTGCGGACACATATCCGGAACAACCACGATGGAATTCCGACCATGTCTACCCAATGTTTCCTTTTGTACAGTCAGAGGTAGGTGATCCTTCTTTTTGACGAGGTAATCCACCTTTTCATTGAATTAATATTCGATTCATTAAGACCTATCCATCGGATCCGTTCCCCTCGACGTCTGTGTCGGGACCGATGGATTACAAAGTCAATGCTTTCTACCCAAATGCGATCTTAGGTTCCGGTTACCCAACTGACTATAATCAGGTCCGTGACTACTTATTGATATTCTGTTTCCTGTTCCCCTTCCTGACCGCTTCTGACCGCCATTCTGCGGTATTTGCACATTGATAGGCTTGTTTACTCGGATTTATTGCCCTTTTCCATTGCTGTTGAGTTCAGAAATGTCCAATATGCATATGGAATGGTTCAAGGAAATAGTAATTTACTGTCATTGATCTAAATTGATTTTCAGTCAATCCAATGGAAAATGCCATCGATGAAACCGGCCAAGCCTTCAATGGCTAATCCTCCCTACCGTACTGGACCTGGGACAAACAGTCAGTGCTTTTGCTTTATTTTTCATTCTTTCTATTTCAAATTATCCTTCTAATCTAATTAAATAATTGAATTTTTCGAATTCAATCGTGATTGCGAGAATATAACCAGGTCCATTAGCTGACCGCAAGGTTTTTGATAGGGTTTCTTGGTATTGTATGATACCTCCAGTTATTTGGGCAAATGATTTGGAACAAAGTGAAGGGTTCATTGATTTGTTGCAGTCAGCTTATAGATAAGCTACATGTAGAATTTGATATAAAGTGCTGAAAAGCGTTTTATCGGAATGCTCTTCACGTATCCCAAATGAACTTTGTTAGGTCAACTACTCGATTCCCCTGTCAAAGTAGTAAGGTTCGATATCAGACTCATTTCGGAGGTCGCTATTCTGAACTCAGGTCTGGGAGCTTTACCACTCGATTGAGCTTTCAAAAGTTATTGTGATTCCTCATGGAAGAAAAAGCATGGCGCGATCTTTAGAAACAGTTGAGCTATGACGCTTTCATTTCTCCTAATAGGCTTTATTTCCCCGAACAGGAACTCAGGAGCAAAAACCTACCGATCCCACTATTATGGAGGAAGCGATTACAGTACAATCCTGAGCTGAACACGCTCCACCCTAGTTTGAATAGGTCCAACTGAAGCTTGGGGGACGAATCGGAAAGGTTCTAGTGGGGTAGAGGGCCGGAGGAAGCGAGTGCAATTCTTCCTCTAGGGTCTTTTACCAGCATTATGGCAACACTCAGTTGCGACTGGCATCCCTCTTAGCTTCCTTACCTTTAGCCAAGGTAGGGACTGTGTCCAGGGCATTGGTAACAACAATGGTTACTTTGAGTCTCACAAGGTTGGCGTTGTGGACAAAATTCCAGTCATCGATGGGACTCGAACCCGTCGTACTTGTGCTTTCACCCATCTAGAACCTTTCCGACGCTCTCATGCTTGAGTTGGTTTTCCGTCCAGTGCTTAAGTTTTGACTATGGTTACTCTAAGCCCACTAACGATTTCATTTCTGAAGCGTTAGTACGATGTGATGAGTGTGGGTCTGAGCCAGATGGAATCGATAAAAGTACTTTTGCACTCCCTCTTCTAATCTCCCTTTATGTTTGTACCCTTGGAAAACCACTATTCAAACTTCCGCTTGTAATTTGCAATAACACTGGTCATAAACAACTAAATAGCTTTCTTTGATTTACAATGACGGTCATATAATTTATCTCGGAATTGAACACACGTTTTAGTGACACCTATGAAGGAATTAGTGCTGGTGACAGCGACGGCTTGTCGCCTTTAATCGTCGATGATGGCGCCCCCTATCCCCGTAACACTGATAAGCACTTTGGCGACGTCCGTGACGCGATGCCTGCCGCCGCCTAGAAATGTTGGCTTAGAGGCCTTTATCGGGTACAGTGGCAGCTACTCGTAGTGGCGTTCTCGAATACTCCCCCATACTAACAAGCTTTTAACAATAAGCATCTGATAAACGCGACGACCCCATGAATCGACGCGCCACCATTGACGGGGCAGTCATCAGTTAAGACCGCGTTAACACCCTGTGTAGAAAACGAAATTAATCCAACTAATTGCCATTGTAAACGTGGGAAAAAACTCTGGCAGTAGCGGAGATTGCACCAGAATAACAAAGATCGATACTAACTGTAGACCGATTCGAAGTATTCGAGGAGAACTAAGAGTTCAATGGCCAGGACGCTGAACATTCACTGTAAGGTCCCTCCCTCCCACGCTTACTGCCATAGTCGATGCTTCCAAACCTCTCCTTCCTGCCCTTTACAGCCAAGCATGCGAAGTTTGCTGAGAGTTGATAATTTGGGAAAGGTTCATCGTTTGGTCAAGTAATGGAGGTAGTGGTCCATCATGGTTATGTAGCACTCCTGTTAGTATTTCATTCCTTCAAAGGCGTGGCGAATGCTCGCGTGTGGTTGCACTGCGGGAAGGTGACAAGATGAAGGCCCTCCGCAACGCAACCGCTCGCGGACAGTTCCTCACGCCTTAAAGGGATTGGAATGCCTACAGGAATACTGCCTTATCACTACTTCCCTTCATTTATTGAACACTGGAGGCCACATTTCGCCTAGAGTTTAGGGAAAAAACAATATTTTCTTCCTACTGTTTTTTCAGAAAATCTCTCGAAAAGGCTATTGTACAATTAGGGTTCATGATTCTCATCCCAACACAGTTGTATACCCATCAGCCCACTTAGAAGTCTAATCGAAGGCGGTTGTGTACGGTAGTTTACACTGGTGAAAACAACTGTCGAAATTGCGCGATGTGCTGGCGCAACCGAACCGGCAACTGTTGAGGACAGCGCTTTATCGAGTTGCCGATTGACTGTGGTCGTTTCAGATGTACGAGTACGGACATCCGACAAATATCGCATGGTCTACTCAGACTATCAACGACTTGAACTCGAAAAAGTGAGTGAAGCTTAAGAAATTTCAATGATAAGCATACTGTAGACTGCGATTCGTTTCAGGAATTCTGTACGAGTACGTTTGTGACGTCGGAACGTAAAGCCGAATTATCTACGTTGTTAAATCTCACCGAACGTCAAATCAAAATCTGGTTCCAGAATCGGTGAGTCCTGAATAGATGGTATAGGGATATGGTGGTAGATGTTTGAAGGTTTCTAATTTGTCACCGTTGTCCTGGGTGACCCCACTGAGAGTGTCTGGGAGATGTGCTGGGTTCACATTGCGTCATTATCATAACTCATCGATCCCATCATGATCTTTCATGTCGCCGCTCTGGTTATACGAACTAGTGGGGAGTAAAGTAAGGAGGACCCTTGGCTGGTCTGTAGTTGACTTTGTACCTTCCAATACTGGGCATTACAGAGGTTCGCTTACCTTGAACGGCTTTCCAAAGCTTTTTGTGGTGTAATTCTCCAGGAACCAGTGGGAAGTTCTCCGGTTTACCAGTGAGAAGTTTCCAGGCTCTTTCCCATACATTGGCTCAGATTGAACGGATCCGGCAGTTTCTCAGAATTGGCTTCCAGAGGTTGAGTAGATATACTTAGGAATTGCTGTTCCACGAATCCGAACAACAGGACTACGAACCACCCAGAAAAGGGGTTCCCCAGTGAATTAGCGTTTCCTTGAAAGGCATGGATAGCGTAAAAATCACTCCCAATTCTTTTGATTAACTGACCGTTCCTGTGGTAAATATGACGATTGGAAGTGTTGTACATCACGGTAGACCAAAATCTATGTAATTTCAGTTTGCCTTTCCCCTTTTCCCTAATCTCCACCCCTAATCATTATAGATTGTTCGTTCCAATACAGTCCTATTTTTCCCATCACTATCGACTTTTGTCTATGAACAAGTCATAAAATCGTTTTCTCAACGAACTCGAGGCCACGATTAAACTCTGAAATTGCCGGAGGTTTACGGGCAGATAATTGCCCATGCAATGCCACACTGGCATACGGTATGGCGTGAGCGGTTCTGAGGTTCGGTGCAAGGGCGGTGCCACGTCTCCACACGGAAATTTACGACCGACCTCACGTCCTGCGCCTGCGAACGCCTTCCATAAACAAACGGCGCTTCTGAAATGAGGCCGCACACAACGACGAGACCACGACGTTGGCCAGAAGGCGAGGCGCCGTAAACCACACACATCGCGCACACACAGGACGACGTAGCCAGATGCCGCTGGTTCGGAGCTTGATATGTGGGGAAATGCTCAGTAATGTAGCGGGTAATGGTGGGAAGATTTTATGTTCTTCCGGGGAAGGATGGTGACCATTCATTGTCAGGGAAGTAACAGTATCTGATAGGTGTATCATTTAGAGTCGCTGGAGGCCTCACTTTTCGTCATTTTTCCAATCTTACTACCTTGTAAATGCATTTTGTCTTCGCCCAATATACACTGACCAATGTAAGAAAAAGTGTACTGTAGGAAAAGTGAGGAAGCGAAGAAGAGGCGGATACCGAGCCTTCTGAAGAATGAGTTGAGTCGAGCACGGTATTTAATCCACCTAAACGAAGCGGTTCCATTCAGCTAAGTTTCTGTTTCGGTGCATAGAAAGACGGAAATCGAAACGCGGAAGGCGAAAAACGTATTCATTAAGCTAGTGCCCTTGAACGGCTTCTGATTGCGAAAATTTTTGAACCCATATAAGCCATTAACTTGCCGCAGCACACCCTCTAAGTGGGTTCCCATGAGTAGCAGCCAATACCGTCCACTCGAGCCTTCAGAGTCCATATCTTTCCTCATCCATTACCATATTTTGTTGTAACTTATTTTATTTGGATGATTTGATAATTTGGGAGACCCACCCGAAGGAGGGCGATCACCAGATGTCCTTCATTCCTCATTCATATCCGTTATTCTTGTTCTTGTCCCCAACTTTTTTTTGATAGGGAGGTAGCCTTCACTATGGTGAAATCTACTCCTGTATCCTGCCTTTATTTGATGGTAGCTTCATATTTTCCTGCAGCCATTTTTGAAAATAGAAATTTCTGCGCTAAGACCGAAATGACAAGGAGTTGGAGTAAGTCTAAGAGTCTTCGCTACCCTTAACGAAGTAATCAGCTCAAGTCATGCCCACGTTAAGGAAGCCATTCATCGCTCTGAGGTAAATGGTTAAGCGGTAGCTGCCTAATCTGGGTGGCTAATAACAGCCCTGAATCTGTAAAGGTACGCAGGTGACTCTGTATCGATTGAACATCCATCCGAGTA